GCCATTAGCTCCGTTCCAGCCATTATTATGAGCCATCCTCCCCTCAGCATCCTCCACTGATATACTCCGGACTTCGACATTGCTCGTCCTAATATTTCTATATTCCATTCTTTTACTTTTTAGATTTGTGTGTATTGTTAGATATTACTCCACTGTCGGAGCTAGGAACACAAGCATTTTGCTACACCCACAATAACATCTGCTAAATATGTGTATGCGACCAATGCAATTTGATTTGATTGGATATGATTTATCCGGCTTCGGTACACTGGCAATGGTCGGCTTGGGAGGTTAGACTCTTTGTTCTTATAGCGATGGGCTTGTCCTGTCTGCTGTGAACGGCCAGCTGGATAAGACTGCCGAAAGTGGTGTAGGGCTTCTTAACCACCTGGTCCTCTTGTAGAAGATTTGCTGGTACTGCACGTCTCCTGGAAAGACATGGTTGTGGTCATAGCATTTTAAATTTTTTGTGGAAGGGACGTAGGGCAACACACCTTTGTTGGTAAAGGTATCAACCAAATGGGAACGGCTAGCATATTGCTTAGGGACCATGAGGGGACATTGGGAGCTGCTTCTGAGAGAAAAGATCAGTCAATAAAGTGAATGGGCTGGGTGGCTAAAGAAGGTGTGAAAAGTCTTAGGAAGGCAGTTCTTACACAGTATGAATTGTTGTGTATGGGAGATTGAGGAGAAATGGCACCTCAATCGCTCTCATACACAACAATACATTTACTGTCTAAGCACAACCCTGCACATCCAAAAACCCTTTCCTCATCTCAAAGTGCTGTCTGTAAACCTCCCCAGTCCATTGACTTTGACAGATCATCCTTGTCAATAGTAGCCCTTTGGAGGGGAATTTTGTAGATGTCTTTGTATTATGTTTTGATAATCTGCAGAGAGAATAATGAGGTGGTTGTGTCATTACTGTTGTAGTCTTGATTTTATACCTTTCAGTGTCACTTGCTGGTTTCTGTCCCACAATCTTGTTGTGCTCCATAATTGCAAGGTGTGTCCGCTCACTCATGCTTGTGTACTCAAAATGTCCACGCTTTGGGGTATTTTTTAGCAGGGCACTGTGGAATGACTCCAGATAACATGAGTTTTACAAAGAGAAAAAGGAAAAAAGAGAAGAGGGGTAGACTAAATTGATTACATGGTCTGGAAGATACTCTGTGGTCCTCAGGCCACCTCTAACCACCCGTAACCCCAAAACACGAACACAAACCATACAAAACACTACCCAATTCATGTTTATACCATGCTTACCATAAAGTGAGCTATCTTTGCCATCAGCTTGTAAATATTTTGGCCAACTTACCTTCACCTTGTACGGTGCTAGGGGTTGGAAGTGCATGTTGGTGGAATGAGATTCTGTACCACAGGCGTTTGGTGGCACCTTAATTGGGGAAGTTGGGCTTGTGGTAATGAGTGGAGCGGAATTTGGAATGGTATCAAATACATCAAACACAAGGTTTGATGCCATTCCATTTGCTTCGTTTTAGCCATTATTATGAGCCGTCCTCCCCTCAGCAGCCTCCACTGTTCTGTACCACCTACAACAAAATACACAACAATACACAATTTAACCACTCCACTAATTGTATTGATCTCTATTAGACTGGCTAGCTAAGCATACCTAACATTGACATTTCAATATTGTTATCTTGCTGTTAGCTAACTAGCGTCACTAAATTGGCAGCAAGATTGCTAGCCAGCTGAGACTGGCTGAGAACCAACTAACCAACCATAGATGATTTATACACATTCATCATTGCTACCAATACACAGAGTGAGTTAGCTATATAGACAATTCACATTTTAGTAACTGAGTGTTTTCCAGACTAGGGTGGAATAGATGGCTACCAAATTAAGATACTTTATTTGGTAACATTAGCTAGCTTACGTTAGCTAACGTCAGTCAAAGATAGAATGAACAAACAAACATGTTTACTCTGCTGAAGGCAGCTACCAGTCTAGCAGTGACTACCATGGCATAGGCGAAATTGATTGACAGTGTGTATACCAAAATATACTGTAGATAGCTATATGATTTAGCTGATGGCTTTCAGAGTTCAATACAGGACTGTAATGTTAGCTAGCTAACTTACCCAGCTAGGCTAGCAAGCTAGCTAATGTCAGGTTACCTCTAATTAAGAATCTTCTGGTATGTTGTGAAGGAAAAAATGTATGGTATCGCATCACTTCTCAGCTGTCGTCGAAATGGATTCCCCATCAGTTCAGCCTGAAAATCCCTCTGATAATCTTTGGTCACCTCATCATTCTTGATAGCCGCAAGCCACTGGCAGAATCAGGGTGAGTCTGGTAGGTAGAATGGTGAAAGATAACGCTTGTTTGTAATTAGTGAAATGAAAATGTGCTAGTTCTAGCTTGTGGTTTGGATAATTGTGATGTTTATGATAAAAACTAAATGTTGTTAATATAGTAATGACTATATGCCATTCCAGAGCCAGGGTTAAATACCCCTTTAATAGTCGTAAAGTTCCGGAGCATGTCTTTCAGTGGAGGCTGCTGAGGGGAGAAAGGCTCATAATAATGTCTGGAACGGAGTGAATGGAATGGTCCCATTCCGTTGATTCTGCTCCAGCCATTACCACGACCCCGTCCTCCCCAATTAAGGTGCCACCAACCTCCCGTGATGTCTTTAAATAAAGGTTAAATAAATAGTAGTACAGGTTTGGTTCAGGGACAGTTCAAATGTTTTGTTACACTTCAGTGCAGCTTTTGACATTATCGATCATAGTCTGCTGCTGGAAAAATGTATGTGTTATGGCTTTACACCCCCTGCTATTTTGTGGATAAAGAGTTACCTGTCTAACAGAACACAGAGGGTGTTCTTTAATGGAAGCCTCTCCAACATAATCCAGGAAGAATCAGGAATTACCCAGGGCTGCTGTCTAGGCCCCTTACTTTTTTCTAACTTTACTAACGACATGCCACTGGCTTTGAGGAGAGCCAGTGTGTCTATGTATGTGGATAACTCAACACTGTACACGTAAGCTACTACAGCGACTGAAATGACTGCAACACTTAACAAAGAGCTGCAGTTAGTTTCAGAGTGGGTGGCAAGGAATAAGTTAATCTTAAATATTTCAAACTAAAAGCATTTTATTTGGGACAAATCATTCACTAAACCCTAAACCTGAACTAAATCTTGTAATAAATAATGTGGAAATTGAGCTAACTAAACTAAACTGCTTGGAGTAACCCTGGATTGTAAACTGTCATGGTCAAAATATATTCATACAACAGTAGCTAAGATGGGGAGAATAAAGCGCTCTACCTTCTTAACAGCACTATCAACAAGGCAGGTCCTACAGGCTCTAGTTTTGTCGCACCTGGACTACTGTTCAGTTGTGTGGTCAGGTGCCACAAAGAGAGACTTAGGAAAATTGCAATTGGCTCAGAACAGGGCAGCACGGCTGGCCCTTGGATGTACACAGAGAGCAAACATTAATAATATGCATGTTAATCTCTCCTGGCTCAAAGTGGAGGAGAGATTGACTTCATCACTACTTTTATTTGTGAGAGGTATTGACATGTTGAAAGCACCGAGCTGTCTGTTTAAACGACTAGCACACAGCTCAGACACCCATGTATACCCCACAAGACATGCCACCAGAGGTCTTTTCACAGTCCCCAAGTCCAGAACAGACTATGGGAGGTGCACAGTACTACATAGAGCCATGGCTACATGGAACTCTATTCCACATCAGTTAACTGATGCAAGCAGTAGAATCAGATTTTAAAAAAACTGATAAAAATACACCTTATGGAAGAGCGGGGACTGTGAAGCAACACAAACATAGGCACAGACACATGCATACAGACACATGATAACATACGCACTATACACACATGTACACATGGATTTTGTGTTGTAGATATGTGGTAGTGGAGTAGGGGTCTGAGAGCATTTGGAAAACATCCTGCTGTTAGGTGGATTAAACCATTCTCAGGGTGTGGTAGAGGGTGGAGGTGGAATGAACCATCTATTGGAAATTACTCTTAAAATGGCTCTTACTCATTATTCATACAAGTACAGTTAGGCCTTTAGGGAAAGTGTCTCATGAGTGTCATGCTGTATGTCTGATGTTAGATTTATAGAAGTTATGATTCAGTCTGATTAATTTTGTACTTGATCACACACTTTCTTACTCCCCCTAACACACACACACACACACACACACACACACACACACACACACACACACACACACACACACACACACACACACACACACACACACACACACACACACACACACACACACACACACACACACACACACTCTCACACACACACACACATACACACACCATGGTTGTTGCCTGTTGCAGTGGGCAAACCAGTTTGCTTCTTTTTACTTGTCAATGCAAAGCAACAGGTGAAGTAATAACCGTGCTGTCATATTGTCGTGTTGCAGCTTGTGCAGACAGCAGACAGAGGAGACAGTTTCACAAGAGGGAGGGAGGGGTGGGGGATGGAGGGAGGGGGGAGGTATGTTCCAAACAATTGGATTTGTTTGTAACATTATCATGCTGTGTGATCTGTGTCTATATGTAAAACTGTATGGTTCCTGTTTCTGGTTCCTCCTGCTCGAAAGGGAGTCTGTTCACACGACTCAAAGCAATAGAGTAGTGGTCAGAAATAAGCCATTTTAATGAATTCTAGTTTGTTGCGCCCACAAATTCTGAGTCATGTTTTTCTTTATATCACTGTGGTGCTCATGTAACATTTCAGGTTAGTGTTGTTGGTGATCAGTAGTTAATACTATTTTGGGCTGTGTTGCTATGATATTCAGGTTAGTGTTGTTGTTTTGAATGTGATGTTTTGTGTGATACTGTAGGGTGTGTTAAAGGGGTGCGTTCAGGTTCAATTCAGTACCTTGTGACGTTGTTGGGCGTTTATAGAGTCATGGCATTCAGAGCATTATTGTAAGATATCAACTGTACAGTTTTGTTAAACCCTATGTTAAGTGCTATAGTGTTTCTGTTATGCGCAGAAAAGGCGGAGACTTACCAGAGGGCGTGACCACGGGGAATGGATCCCTGCTGTTTAATAGGCCCCTCGGCCTGACGGACGCTGGCATCTACCAATGTGTGGCCAAGAACGTTGTGGGGACGGGGAAAGCAGAGGTGGAGATCACTGTGACAGGTAGGTTGGGCTATCACTCATATTAAAGAGTGATATTAAATTAGTCATAATTTTCTTACTTTAGTCCTGGATATATATGTTGTATTTTATTTTATATTAATTTTTTTATCCTGAAACAAAATTCTGGAAAATACTGTACCTTTGTTCTGTTAAACAAAGAAGTTTAGCTAACAAACCCAGTTTAAGCAATCACACATACAGTATGTTCATATTTTCAAAATTATGTGTATTTCTGTATCTCTGTGAATATACATCACTTCCTATTGTCCCTCTCCCTCAGAGTTGCCTCAGAAGCAGGCGTCGTTCGACAGTCTCCTGATGATAATAGTGGGAGGAGTGGCCGTAGTACTTCTACTAGTCATGATCATCATCGTCATCTCTGTGACCCGTCACCACAAACGCAAGAACAAGAAACTGTCGAGGGAACTCACTGTGAGGAAGTATGTTTTCAAACTTTACAGTAACTCCCTCGTTATAGAATCGTTATAGAATCTAAATGATAAATGTTACGCCAAAACTGTAAATGTCTTTAATTCAGAATACTTAACAATGCCTCTCTCTCTCTCTTTCTCTCTCTCTCTCTCTCTCTCTCTCTCTCTCTCTCTCTCTCTCTCTCTTCTCTCCTCTCTCTCTCTCTACCTCTCTCTCTCCTCCCTCTCTCTCTCTTCTCTCTCCTCTCTCCTCTCCTCTCTCTCTCCTCTCTCCCTCCTCTCTCTCTCTCTCTCCTCCTCTCTCTCTCTCTCTCTCAGGGAGGAGATCAGTACTCTCTCCAGACAGGCATCTGTCAGGAAAATGAACTCAGTCAGTATGGACGCTAGAGGACAGGTAGGATATTAAATCACCATATCTTACAGTCTGTGGCAGTGGAGGCTGGTGGAAGGAGTTATAGGAGGATGGGCTCATTATAATGGCTGGAATGAAATAAATACAATGCAGTCTAACCTAGGGTTTCCATGTGTTTGATACCGTTCCACTTATTCCATTCCAGCCATTACAATGAGCCCGTCCTCCTATAGCTCCTCCCACTAGCCTCCACTGGTCTGTGGTCTGTACACAATGCTGTCATTCTGTAAATAAATACTAGCACTTCCATGAGCATTATCTATTTGCCTCAAGTTAATATGGTCCCCTCAAGTTAATATGTCCCCCTCTCATTCTCTCCCCCCTCCCTCTCTCCCTTCCCTCTCTTTCTTATCCTCTGTTCTTTTAGACAGAGGAGAATATCCCTCTCAGAGTGGAGGGGACACTGCGGACCAGTCTGTCCTCCCTAGGGGTCAGTCTCCATTTCACTCTTTCTCTGCATGCGAGGGAGACCTCCGATTTAGCCTCCAGATGCATGGCCGCTAAATTCTGAGCTCTGCAGGGCAGGCAAATCTCATTCTAATTTTAACATTTATGTAGTTAAATGAAATGCAAGGAGCTTATTTTCTTTAAATAGCATTTATATGTGAAAAGAAAAGTTAGTGCATCTTACATATCATATATTAATTATACTTTATACTAATTATACTTTGTTATTAAGACTTCATGCTTTCCCTCCATCTTCTGTTCTGGGACTCCTGCTTCGGAAGCCATCTTAAAATCAGACTCTTCAGTGGAAAATGTGTTTAAAGTTCTCTATATCTCCCTTTCCTTCACACGCAGGAGCAAGGGCGCATTAGGGGGAGTCAATCTACTCTGGTAGGGGGCGGGGGGCTAGACTACCTGGGTCGACCTGTTCTGTACAATACTTCACGAAGAGGGAGGGAGAGCAGAGCCATGGACAGAGAGGAGGAGAACAGACTTAGGGTGGAGTCAGATGAGCAGAATAGCACCATGTCTTTGGTAAGTGTGTGGGTGGGTGGAGGGGTGGGTGCATGTAGAGGCATGAGTAGGGTTGCAGAATTCCGTGAACTTTCAATAAATTCACAGTTTTTTTCAGAAATCATGGTTGGAATTGTGCAACCCTAGGCATGAGGCATCATGACTGGCATACTCCATTTCTTGTAAACCTTTTAAACTCATAGGTTTAGTAGAGATTGCTAGAGATACTCAAATTATCTATAGTTACTGATGAGTTGTATTTTCCTTTATCTAACCACATATTTACCACTTGTCTCACAGGAAGACCATCTCCACCCACCTCTCCAACCCTCTCCCTTCCCAATGGAACAGTCCACCGAGCTGCTGAGGTCCCTGAACGGCAGCGCCATCATCCCAACGGAGTGGGGTTTACACATACGGCAGGGGCCCGGTAGCAGGAACACCCACTCCCCTCTCAGTTGCAACTTCCCTCCCGTCACAGACGACGAAGACGAGGAGGATGAAGGTGTGGAGGGGGAGCGGGGGACGCGCCCCAGGATGAGTCCGTTGGATCAGGGGAGGTCAGAAGACCAGGACAGCGAGACCAACAGTTCTCAGATCTCAGAAATAGAACGTGGACTCAACCCTCACTTCCAGCAGAACAACGGAACATTGAGACCCAAACCGCTCCCCAAATACCGGACCAATGGCATCCTCCTCACCCCATCACCACACGCCTCCTTCATCCACAAGGCCCAGATTGTATAGAGCGGTACGGCTGGGTAAGGGCAGGTGACACACTATACGACGAGGCAAACTTTTCTACACAACACCATTCTAACAGTGTTTTGTATGTGATTGGTTGTGACTGTTTGGGATACAAGCACGTTGGTGGCATACCTCTGTGGCAGCCAGTTTACCTCCTTTTCACTTCTGAAACATACGTCCACCTTCGTCTCGAGCTCTCAGATATTTTTGATCAGCAAATAAAGCTTCCGATTCAAGAAAGACTCCTTTGCTGTAGCGATACAAATAAGTAACACATACATATCACAGGAGAGAAGCTGGACATGTATGATGTAAAATTAAAAGTACATGAATGTCAGGTTGGACACAGACAGACCAAAGTAGTCATAATATTGTATCACAGCAATAAAGATCACTCCATGCCCAGGAAGCATCAAACTGAGAGGACCTAAAAGACTTCCATGCTTTATTATTGTATAGTTTTTTTGCTACTACGACTTGGTGACAGAACTAAGGTGCAAGATTAGAATATCAACAACTCACCAATAACGGCTGCCTAGTGGAATACATGTTGGTGATCTTCCACCCTCCTTCCTTCTAGATGAGGATACAACCCATGCTGTTCTATTCACCCTAAGATGGAGTCCATCTTTTTGACTTGACGTGTGGCAGGAGTTTTTCTGGAGATACCCCTCCTTTCCATGAAACTTGGATGTGCACAAACTTTGAACTCGCCATAGTCTGAGATGTAAAAAGCTGAAGACTGCATTTTAGACAAGAGGTTAAAAAACAGAGCCTTCCCATTAAATGGTTTCCACCTGAGCACAGTGAGAGCCTACTAAAACTGGGAAAAAGTATTGTTCTTCTATTTTCTTACACCACAGACATTTAGACAAGATAACTGCAATATGCCTTTGTTTGTATGAATACAGTAAAAAGAGCCTTTGCTTTGTAGGCCAATATTAAGTATTATGTTTGAATCTACTGACTTGAAATGACACCCTATTCCCTACATAGTGCACTACTTTTAACCAGAGCCCTATGAGCCCTGGGCAAAAGTAGTGCGCTAGATAGGGAATAGGGTGTCATTTCAGACGCAGCCATGCTGTACACAAGTGTTTCTTTCATGCCATGTTCCAGGGAATGTCTTACTGTAGTTCACAGGTATGTACACATATACTTGTAATTCAGTGGAGGCTGGTGGGAGGAGCTATAGGATGAAGGGCTCATTGTAATGGCTGAAATGGAATTGATGGAACGGAGTCAAACATGTGGTTTCCATATGTGCGACGTCTTTGATACCGTTCCATTTATTCCACTTCAGTCATTACAATGATCCCTCCTCCTATAGCTCCTCCCACCAGCCTCCACTGTTGTAATTGCATGGGCTTCCATGTATGAAACTTTGGAATCACATTCACACACATTCAGTTGTATCATTCCGTTGCTTTTAACTATTTTCCTTTGTATAATACTGTAACGCTATCTCTGAGTGAATGTATTACCGACAAACACTGAGTGTACAAAACATTATGAACACCTGCTCTTTCCATGACATAAACTGACAAGGTGAATCCAAGTGAAAGCTTTGATCCCTTATTGTTGTCACTTGATAAATCCACTTCAATCAGTCTAGATGAAGGGGAGGAGACAGGTTAAAGAAGGATTTTTAAGCCTTGAGACAATTGAGACAAGGATTGTGTATGTGTGCCATTCAGAGGGTGAATGGGCAAGACAAAAGTGCCTTTGAATGGGGTATGGTAGTAGGTGCCAATGCGCACCGGTTTGTGTCAAGAACTTCAACGCTGCTGGGTTTTTCACGCTCAACAGTTTCCCGTGTATCAAGAATGGTCCACCACCCAAAGGACATCCAGCCAACTTGACACAACTGTGGGAAGCATTGGAGTCAACATGGGCCAGCATCCCTGTGGAACACTTTCAACACCTTGTAGAGTCCATGCCCCGACGAATTGAGGCTGTTCTGAGGGAAAATGGTGTTCTTAATGTTTTGTACACTGTGTAGAATGTAAGAGGTTGGAATATACAGCCTCCTGGTGTGCACTAGGGGATAGTACGAGAAATGAACATAGTGCATGGACCTACAGGTAACTGCCAAAATAAAGGAAACACCAACATCAAGTGTCTTAACAGGGCTTTGGGACACCATGAGCCAGAACAGCTTCAATGCACCTTGGCATAGATTCTACAAGTGTCTGGAACTTTATTGGAAGGATGCCATGCCAAAATAATGGCCTGCCCAGCGTTCTTATACATGATCCAAAGCATCATAGGAACAACACCTGTGTGGAAGCTCCTGCTTTCAATATACTTTAGCCTTGTTCACATTGGCAGTTTGAAGTGACTCCAAAAAATATATATTTGCGTATCTTTTTCCTGCAGTCTGAACAGCAAAAAGAACATGGAATCGGATATTTCAAGCCACATTTCAAAACCACCTTCATAGGTGGTTTGAAGTCAGATACATTTTACATTTTAGTCATTTAGCAGACGCTCTTATCCAGAGCGACTTACAGTTTTTAGTGAGCGCATACATATATTTTTCATACTGTCCCCCCGTGGGAATCAAACCCACAACCCTGGCGTTGCAAGCGCCATGCTCTAGCAACTGAGCTACATGGGACAGATACAAATCTGATTCCTGGCCATGTGACTTGTGTCTGAATGGTCAAACCCTCAAGTGGTTTTTAGACTGTTATTTGACATATCTTGTTGCTCTCTAGCTACTCTGTTGACAGTGTGACAAGAACATGTGGTAGCTAATTATCTTGTTAATTGTTTACAAACAAATTAGTGAATGTGCTAGAAAGCTAAACAGTTACCTAGCCAGCTAGTTGACTGCTGTGGCTAGCCAAAAACGACTCGTTTTAAAAGTTGGATCATCTTATCCTTTGAGGCTTTAAAAGTGTTCCTACACTATGACTTTGAACATTAAAAAAACATTTTTGGTATTTTGTAACAGATGTCTCTTTCCATTCATCAAATTGCCTCTGCACAGTTTGGATTGATTGATTTCATTTGTCAGTTTAAAAAATACATATATACACAAATAATTAAAAAAGTGACCAGGATTGCACAAAGTAATTTAAGGACTGAATGCATCTCCATCTGGCTTTTGGGGGTCATCTTATTTTTTAACATAGCTACTTCTATGGGCTTTTATGTTTTTCTGTCGTGCATAACGTGTAGTATCCTATATCATAGGCTATGCATTGGATAACAACACAATAATTTGGGCTTTTTTGGGCTCAAAAAATGTATTTAATGTTGGGCTCATAAAATGTTTTTAATGTATGGCTCATCAGGCTCAGGTAGCATCAGACTTGAATTTTCATGCCGATCAAAGCTCTAATCAAATCCAGACATATTAATATTCTTTAGAATGACACTTCCGGTTTGGGCAGGAAATGCCGGTTACCAGGGAGAAAAGTGATTATTCTTGGGATGGAAAATTTGTAAAATACTGGGAAAATATGAAACCCTAGTCTGTAGCTGATTCTTTAGATGTTTTGGGCTGCTGGTGAACCATGATGTGCAGGCATAATCAAAGTGACACTGGACTAGCGCACTTGCCAGAGTTTTTAGGGTGTCTAGGTTTCCATCCAATTGGTGACAGATTTTCATGCGAATATTCTAAAATCAAAAATTTGGAGCCGGACAATGTAACCGGGAAGACATTTGAGAAATTAACCAGACATCCATATGCATTCAGATCCTACTTGGCACAGCCAGCGCCATCAATAAACAAGGCATATTGGCCAAATTAGCCACATTTACAGTGCATTCGGAAAGGGTTCAGACCCCTTGACTTTTTCCACATTTTGTTACATTACATACTTATTCTAAAATTGATTCAATTCTTTTTTTTTCCTCATCAATCTACACACAATACCCCATAGTGACAAAGAAAAAGCAGGTTTTAGAAATGTTTGCAAATGTATTAAAAATGTAAAACAGAAATACCTTATTTACATAAGTATTCAGACCCTTTGCTATGAAACTCTAAATTGAGCTCAGGTGCATCTTGTTTTCATACTTGAGATGGTTCTACAACATGATTGGAATCCACCTGTGGTAAATTCAATTGATTGGACATGATTTGGAAAGGCACACACCTGTCTATATAAGGTCCCATAGTTGACAGTGCATGTCAGAGCAAAAACCCAGCCATGAGGTCGAAGGAATTGTCCGTAGAGCTCCGAGACAGGATTGTGTCGTGGCACAGATCTGGGGAAGGGTACCAAAACATTTCTGCAACATTGAAGGTCCCCAAGAACACAGTGGCCTCCATCATTCTTAAATGGAAGAAGTTTGGAACCACCAAGACTCTTCCTAGAGCTGGCCGCCGGCCAAACTGAGTAATCGGGGGAGAAGGGCCTTGGTCAGGGAGGTGACCAAGAAACGGATGGTCACTCTGAGAGAGCTCCAGAGTTCCTCTGTGGAGATGGGAGAACCTTCCAGAAGGACAACCATCTCTGCAGTACACCACCAATCAGGCATTAATGGTAGAGTGGCCAGATGGAAGCCACTCCTCAGTAAAAGGCACATGACAGCTGTCACGACTTCCGCCGAGGCTGCCTCCCCTCCTTGTTGGGGCAGGCTTCGGCGTTCGTCGTCACTGGCTTACTAGCCACTGCCGCTCCATACATCATCATTCCATTTGTCTTGTCTTGTCAATTACACACACCTGGTTCATATCCCCTCATTAGTCTGTGTATAAGTGTTCCCTCTGCCCCCTTGTCCTTGTGGGTGATTGTTTTATGTGAGTTGAGTGTAGCTCGGTGGAGCTACTCGTACCTTGTATTGCCGGGGTAGATTATTCCCCTGTGCCTGTATTTTGTTGGAGCTACCCGTACCTTGTATTGCCGGGGTAGATTGTTCCCCTGTGCCTGTATTTTGTAGTCGCTATCCAGTACAACTGTGTATGACGGAATAAACTCTGTATTCAGTGATTTACCCTCCTGCGTCTGACTCCTTCTAATCACACTCATCACAACAGCCTGCTTGGAGTTTGCCAAAAAGTACGTAAAGGACTCTCAGATCATGAGACCAAGTTTCTCTGGTCTGATGAAACCAAGATTGAACTCTTTGGCCTGAATGCCAAGCGTCAAGTCCGGAGGAAACCTGGCACCATCCCTACGGTGAAGCATGGTGGTGGTAACATCATGCTGTGGGGATGTATTTCAGCGGCAGGGACTGGAAGACTAGTCAGGATTGAGGGAAAGATGAACAGAGCAAAGTACAGAGAGATACTTGATGAAAACCTGCTCCAGAGCGCTCTGGACAGGGGTGAAGGTCCACCTTCCAACAGGACAACAACCCTAAGCACACAACCAAGACAACGCAGGAGTGGCTTCAGGACAAGTGTCTGAATATCCTTGAGTGTCCCAGCCAGAACCCGGACTTGAACCCGATCTAACATCTCTGGAGAGACCTGAAAATAGTTGTGCAGCGACGCTCCCCATCCAACCTGACAGAGCTTGAGAGGATCTACAGAGAAGAATGGGAGAAACTCCCCAAATACAGGTGTGCCAAGCTTGTAGCGTCATACCCAAGAAGACTCGAGGCTGTAATTGCTGCCAAAGGTGCTTCAACAAAGTACTGAGTAAAGGGTCTGAATACTTATGTAAATGTTATATATCTATTTTTTTTCTAATACATTTGCAAACATTTCTAAAAACCAGTTTGTTTTGTCATTATGGGTTATTGTGTGTAGATTGATGAGGGGAAAATAAACAATTTAATTCATTTTAGAGTAAGGCTGTAACGTAACAAAATGTGGAAAAAGTAAAGGGATCTGAATACTTTCCGAATGCACTGTATGTGTCCTTAAAAACAGCCTATAACAAACGACAAACACTATTCCTTGTGTTTCGATGTGTAGCATATGCAAAAATTCATAGCCAATTTTTTGTATTGTTTTTTAGGCTACTTTCCTGAAACAATAATTGTCCACCCCATGGTTCAGCTGTCAGAGACTTGAGCACTAAATCCATCA